CAGACAAACTTTTACGATTCATCTACAAACTCCAGATTCGGTTTGACCCACGCCGAATTTGTTTTCGGTTTTTCAGAACTGCCACCAAACCAAAGGGGGAACAAAACAAAACAAAAAACAAAAACAAACAAACCAGTTATTCTCCGGGCTCTGTTTGCAATGCCTTCTGTGCTCACCTGCTCGCTGTCCGCATGCTGCCCCCTGCTGACGGGATGGTAGAAGTCCAGCAGCGTGTGTGATCCCAGGCTGATGGTGGTGACGGTGGGGAAGTACAGAGGTCCATCTTCATGAGGCTGGAGGGAGCTGGCATGTCAGACTAAAGGGAAGGATCTCACTCACACACACACACACCCTCCCCCAGCTCTCCTCTCCAGTACCAAGCATGAAATGCAGAAAGACACGGCTCTAAACACCAAAGACATGTGGACCAACCCATCACACGCAGGCCCTGCTGCTGAGAAGATGCCTCTCCGACGTCACCAACCTTTGTAGCCAGCGCGCGCACATGGCAAAGCCAGGTGGGCGGGGTGTGCATGCCCTAGGCTTGCATGTCACTGGTGCTCATGCTCCACTCCCAAGATAAAAACCCGGCTGTGGAAACAATCTGCTCTCTCACAGCGAGGTCGGGCTATCGAAAGGTGTTGGGATTAAGAGAAGACATTGGTAGCCGGGAGTCCTGACACACAGCCCCCCTGCTCTAGCCACAACTCCTTTCCCAGAGCTGGGGACAGAACCCAGGAATCCCAACTCCCAAGCTGCCCCCATGCTAACCATCACTCTCCAGGGAAAACCTAGTCTTGGCTATCTAGACTCCGTCCCCCTGAAATCTCCAGCCAGCATGAGTTGCCACTGCTGCAAGATTTGCTCCCACAGACACGCCTCTGATCAGGTCAGGTTCTGCGTCTGCCCCTCCTCCTTTGCCCCCACAGGGCAGGAGCCACCCTGAGGTTGAGTAACGGAGCAGCTGGCCCGTGGGTAGTTACCATGATCCCCTGCCCAGGGAGGTACTCATTCACCAGCACGTGGTTCGCCAGCTTTCCTCCAAACGCTCCGAGGGAGGAGATCTTCTCGGCATAGCCCTGCAGCCAGGCGGGCAGCTTCTCCGGTACCATCCCTTTGGCATGGGGCAGCCCTCCTGGGAGGCAGGGAATACAGAGAGGAGCTGGCGATGAAGAGATCCAGCTAGGAGATCCATGGTTGAAAAGCACTAAGCAAGTGTTATGCGACACCCCCCGCCCACCCCACTGGGCAGGCTGTATTCCAGAGGTTCAGACAGGCTTGGTTTAAAGCACCATAAGCCATTCCTCTCCCTCCTTCACGCCTGCAACCAGCAAATCCCTAGCTCCCTAGATCAGCAGATCTCAAAGCGCTTTACAATTTGCACATGGGGAAACTGAGGCACAGAGCAGCCAAGTGACTTGCCCAAGGTCATCCAGCTGGCCAGCGGCAGAGCCAGGAACAGAACCCCGCTGTCTCGAGTCCCTGCTTAGTGCTCTATCCTCTAGGTCACTCCGCTTTCCCCTCTTGGTTGTCACTTAGGCGCTCCAACCCCGGGATCATTTTTACTACTCTCCTCTGAACTCCCTTCCAATTTGTGCTCAGAACTGAATGCAATTAGCCGATTTATTAGGTATATTACGGTAGCACTGTGGTGCCCCAGTCATGGGCCAAGCCACCATTGTGCCAGGCGCTGTACAAACCCAGAACAAAAAGACAGTCCCTGCTCCAAGGAGCTGACAAGCTAAGTATCATCCCTGGGTCCACTTACCCCAGATCTGATTCTCAGCTCCCCGGCCCAGTCACATTTGGGGGTGTATGTGCACCCTCCTCCCCCAAATCGCTATATCCTCTTTGATGCTCCATCCCACTGCAAACTCCCATGCGACTGGCAGCCCCTCAGTCACTGCTGCTGCCCACAGAGGGCTGCGGATCATTTCCCACCACCCTCTAGAGGTGCTTTTGCCTGGAAGCGGATTAAACCCCGGACACACAGTGGGGTCGACAGGGAAGGACGCAAGCCGGAGACATCTTTGGAGACCACTGGTGGAGGAATCTGGGTCATGGGGTCCCAGGGAGGGACCTGGGTTTAGCTCCCACCTGTGACTAATCCAGCCTCATTTACAGGAGGAGAGGCTTCTGCACGACATCCGGATCCGGCCACACCAGTTACAGGAAAGTGGGGATACCAATGGCTCAGACATCAGCAAAACCCTTAGACCTTAGGAGGGGCCTGGGTTACCTGACTTGACGGATGTCGAGCTGTCCTTGAACAATAAACATGTCCTTGGGGAAAGGGATTGAAAACCAACACCGGTGGGAGCTTCATTGCCAGGGAGCTGGCCTGGGGCCTTGCATGAGGGTGGGGAAACTGAGGCAGGGTCCGACGCCGGGTTTGGGGAGATCTTGTCTCCTCAATCCTGCAGCCAGCCAGCCCAGGTCACTCACCAGCCAAATGACATTCCTTTCCTCCCTGATGCAGGCTGCCCTGCACGGTTTCCAAAGGACAAAGCTAACATCCTGCGCTGAGCCCAGACTAGACCTCGGTGGGAGCGAATTCCCCAGTTCCGTGCACTAACCGGTCCCTGGTGCAGTGGGTGGGGGAGGGGGGGTCCACAAGCCTGAGCGCCAGCGATGGGGCTGGAGAGAACTCACCCCAGTTCTGCAGCTTTCTTCCAGACAGCTGGGTCCACTTGGGTTTGGGGGCAGCGTAAACCTGAGGGGCCGAACGCAGGGACGGGTTAAGATGCCGGAAAGCTTTGCTCGAGGGGAAGAACATTACAGAGAAACGGTACGGGAGGCACAAAGTATTATTTACATTAGCGCCGAGGGAAAGAGACCGTCCCTGCCAGGCAGAGCTTATAATCTAAATAGACAAGGCAGACAAAGGGCACGAGGGGAAACTGAGGCTCTGAGGCTAAGTGACCCACCCAAGACCTCACAGGCAGTCTGTGGCAGAGGAGGGAATTGAACCAGGGCATCACGTTATACGAGCCTGTCCAAGGGGAGGGGAGGGGAGGGGACAAAAAACAGGAAAGTAAGGATGGGCCTGAAGCGCAGGGACTGGGCGATGGGGCCCAGAACTCTGAATGTTTAGAGGAAGGCTGGCCCTGTGGGGACTCAGGAGATCCAGGTTCTATTCCTGTCTCCGCCACAGACCCTGTGGGCAAGGCACTTTCATGCTTATATCTGTAAAACAGGCATAACAATCCGTCCTGCCTACTGAGCTGCAAGGTCTTTGGGGCAAGGGCTGTCATTCACTCTGGGTCTGTGCAGCGCCTAGCACAATGGGGCTCTGATCTCGGTTGGGACCTCAAGGTGCTCCCATAACATGCATCAGGAATTTAAGATCTATGCTGGTCCTACTACATTGAGCGGGGGGTGTCATGCAGATGCCAGATCTACAAAAGCTGCGTCTGTCTGTGCACTCGGGGTCTGGGACCGAGATCTCCGTTGCAGAGAAGTGACACTAACACACAAACCGCCTGCTTTTATCCGAGTCAGCCAGGAAATTCTTCACTGCAAGAGCAGCGTCCGCCAAGCGCTGCACTTGCTTCTTGTGCCATGCGAATAATAAACCTGAATGAAAATCTCACATACCTGGTGCAGCAGATAGGTCTCCTCCGACTTCGAGATGAAGTTTGGAACATAATAGACAGTTGGCGGAACCTGCAATTAAAACATACTAATAACACCACCACCACCGACTATTCATCAGTAGAGCTCAAAGCACTTTACAAAGGGGGTCGGTATCATTATGCTCAGTTTCCCAGACTGGGAAACTGAGGCACAGAAAGGGGACGTAATTTGCCCGAGGTCACCCCGCAGGCCAGTGGCCAACCCAGGAACAGAAGCCTGGTCCTCCAAGTCCCAGTGCAGTGCTCTACCCACTAGGCCATATGCCACCCCTGCAAAAAACTGTGCAACGAGTTTGCTGGGTCTCAGAAGAACAGGTGCCCCTTACACAAAACCACCAGTAGGATCCATGCTAATTGCCCTTCCAGTCCCGCCACCCATCCCAAAGGTGAGGGCCACGTCAGCAAAGAACCCAATGGCTGTACGCACCTCGCAGCCAGAACTCCCTTTCCAACCCACAGAATGGGCCTCCCTCCAGGGCAAGGCAAGGGAGAAGCTTAATGTTATTATGTCTATGACAGCAGTATCTAGAGGCACTAGCCGAGACCGGGGCCAGGCGCTGCCGAGACACAGCAAAAGAGACCTCCCTCCTCACTAACATCCCTCACACCGACAGCATGGCCGCCTGCCCCATAGATCTACAAGACAATGGACAAAACTGAGATACCCACCCCCATCGGCAAACTCATCCACGTCATCCTCACCCTTAACCATTTTACATTCAACACCACTTTGTCCAGACCATGGGCACGGCTCTGGGTACTAGGATGGCTCCCCAGTACGTCAATGTCTTCATGGGCCACTGTGAGGAAGATTTTCTGGACAAAGGCACCACAGAACCAATGATGTACCTGAGACACATCAATATTTTCATCCTTTGGGCAGACGACCTGACCTCCCACACAGCTTTCCATCACAACGTCAACCATCAAACTGCAGAACGCTGCTGCACCAGTATCAACTTCCCGAATGCCATGATCCACTTTATCGATGGAACCCTACAGACAACCATCTACAAGAAACCCACGGATCAGCACATCCGCCTTCTCAGATCCTGTAAGCACCCCAAACACACCAAGAAATCGGTTCTCTCTGTAGTGAGGCCCTCAGACACTACAGAATAAGCTCCAAGGAGAAAGTCCGGGATACACACCTTAACACGCTTAAAACCACCCGCACCGAACAAGGACACTCCACCAGAGAAGTAGATCGTATCCTGGAACGGGCCACCCAAATATCCCAAGAGAACCTGCTTCAGTACAGAACAAAACCCCCTCCAACCATACCCCTTTAGTTGTCACCTACCAACCCACACTGGAACCGCTACAGGGTAACACTAAACAATTCCAACCCATACTCGACGGGGATCGCAACCTTGGCCAAATCCCCTCTTCTGGCTTTCACCCCAACCTTGCCAATTCAGAAGCAAGTTCCCCCCAGACCAGAACCCACCAACTCCAAGAGGCACCAGACCATACCAGAACAACAGATGCAAAACCTGCAGGCATATCTCTACTGCTATATTCCCTCCCACCCCAACACACCTTCTTACACATGCCCCAACAACTAAGTGAGTAAAACCAGACGATCACAACTCTCTCAAATGAACACTAGGGTTTTGCCCCAGTGCAAAACAAGCAGATAAAACCCCAGTTCCCCCTCCTGCCACTTCCCGGCTACATTCCGTGCCTGGTTACCTGCTCTACACAAAACGTCTCCAGCGCCAGGATCTTGGCACGTGGCTCCTCCATGTCAAAAAAGGGGCCTGCGATGGCTGGAAGGTCCAGTCTTCTGGGTCCCCCTCCTGGAACCATTGCAGATCCATGGAAAGGAAGCAGAAGAAGCACCATTACCTACCCGAGAGCTGGCCAAGCGCACACTGCAAACAGAAACGAGACCATCAGGGTCTCCAAGCTGCCGGGAGAGCTCCAACAGGAATGGTTGGCACTCTGCAACAGTGGCTGTCAACCAGGGGTACACGTACTCCTGGGGAATGCAGAGATCTTCCAGGGGGTATGTCAACTCGGAATAGCTCAATGGTTTGAGCATTGGCCTCCTAAACCCATGGTTGTGAGTTCAATCCTTGAGGGGGCCATTTGGGGATTTGTCCTGCTTTGAGCAGGGGGTTGGACTAGATGACCTCCTGAGGTCCCTTCCAACCCTGATAGTCTATGATTCTATGAACTCATCTGGATCAGTATTTCTCAACCTGGCGGTCACGCCCCCCCAAGGGGTCACAGGACAGGGTTTGAGAGTTTTCAAGTGCAGGGCCGGCATTAGGGGGTGGCAAGCAGGACAACTGCCCAGGGCCCTATGCCACAGGGAGCCTGTAAAGCTATATTACATGCTTCAGCCCCGGGCAGCAGAGCTCAGGTTTGGGCTTGACTCCTGAAAGGGGTACAGTAGTCTGGAAAGGTTGAGAACCACTGATCTACAGCACACACAGGCTTTAGCCTTGTGAATGGACCAACCCTCGCAGTCCCCACTCTGCTTATGGGCAGGGTTATCCTCACCTTACGTACAGGGAAACTGAGGCAGGGAGAGAGGAAGCAACTTGTCCTAGGGTCAAATGGGCAGAGCCAAGAACAGAACCCAAGAGTCCTGACTCCCAGGACAACTAACCCCTGAACCCCATGCCTCCTCCCACCCTACCAGAGATAGGAACAGAACCCAGGAGTCCGGGCTCCCAGCCCCCCTCACCAGGGAGAGAGAGAGAACCCAGGAGTCCGGGCTCCCAGCCCCCCTCACCAGGCAGAGAGAGAACCCAGGAGTCCGGGCTCCCAGCCCCCCCCTCACCAGGGAGAGAACCCAGGGGACCACCGGGCGAGTCGCAAAGGCTCACGGGAAAAGCGCTCCTCTGCTGCCCCACTCCCCCACCTGAGGCACGAGCAAAGCCACTTCCGTCTGCCCCTTGAGCGAGGTCCCCGCCCCCCAATGAGAAGCCGCGGCTCAACCAATCAGCGGTGGGCGAAGGGGCAATCGGCTCGTGCAATAGGCGGGGCCGGCTTCAGCCAATGGGCTAGGGGCGGAGGCGGGCCTTGGGAGCCTCAAGGTTCTAGGCGGTGTCGTCACACGCCCGTCCCCGCCGCGGCCAGCTGCAGCCACGTGGGGGAGCGCGTCAGCCCATCCCCGTGGCCTCGCGCCGCTCGCGGGTACCGCAGCAGCACAGCCCCCCCCCCCGCACAGCTACCGGCTGCCCCCGCTTCTAGGGCTGCCCCGCCCGGGGTCACTTCCAGCGCCTCCCGGGGACTGCGCCAGGGGGCGGGGGGTGGCACCCCTTACCCAGCATGGCCCGGGGGTACCGCTCCCACCAGCTGGGTGCTCTCTCTGCCTGGTGAGGGGGGCTGGGAGCCCGGACTCCTGGGTTCTCTCTCTGCCTGGTGAGGGGGGGCTGGGAGCCCGGACTCCTGGGTTCTCTCTGTCTCCCTGGTGAGGGGGGCTGGGAGC